GAAATGTTTTGCTATTGAAATAATTTATTTAATACAAAAATTTAAAACTAGTCATAAATTTCAATAGGCGTAGAGAACAATTAAATAAATGAAGAGATTGACAAAAAAAGATAAGGTACTTTGTAGAAAAAAAAATCTTTCAAAACTGTACAGAAGGTCATACAGAATTTAGACAAAAAAAACAATAAATTATTTATATCAATGAAAAAAATTGCTTTCATAATGAAATTTAACACAAATAAGACCATAGAATAAAGAAACAGAACAACAAACGAGACACATTGAAATAAAAAAGAAAAGTTTAATTAAGATCAGGTTGACTTGCAGTTTTCGTTGTGCGAAAGTATTTTCGAAAATGAGGAGTGCGACGAGGTGTTAATGATACTGTCAGTGATGGAGTTTTCTAGAAAAAAAGATTCAGATCATTTATGTGAAGATATAAGAAATACTCACAAAATTCAATGATGTAAGATTATTTTTCATTCCATTGAGCTTCGGAGTTGAACACGCATATGGTGATTGAAATACACGTTCGTCTTCAGAAGATTCCTATAAAAAAATAAATGCACACAATGTAATGTAATATACTAAAACGAGTAATATAAATACTGATAATAGTCTACGACGTTTCGACGTCGTAATTTGAAGATTCTTCTTCAAGTAAAATGTATGATCAGTTGCAAAATTCGTTGATTGAGAATGTAGCGATGGGTTCAATATATTAGTATCAGAATATGTAGTGATTGGATCGACGTACGAGTTATTTGATGCCATCTCAGAATGATATTCAGTAATACTCTAGATAATGTAACATGAAAAAATTTTTAACAACCTGGAAAAAAAAGAGAGCTGGATACCAACTGTATCGTTTACGTAGATAGATTGAGATTGTATTGATGTTACATGAAATGAATTATTTTGAATTGATGAAGGTGTTAATCCGAATTTATTCGACTTGATTTTCACTTGTTGAATTGATGAATTGTAAGTCTAAATAAAGAAAAATTTAATAAAAAAAGGAAACTAATAATAAAGTTATTGGAAGAACCAGAATATTTACTCTATTACAACAAAGATCTTGATGACATCTACAAAAAGCTGTACAAGATAAATTATTTTTATAACAGTTGCAACGAGTACAACTACCATAATTCTTCAAAACTGTTTGAATAAAAATCATTAGGTGTATCTTGATCAGGATATAGTGGTAATGGTTTTTGTGTGATGATTGACCGACGACGATGTTTAAAAGAATGAGTAAATATCTAAATGGAAACATGAGTAAAATAATAAAATGCTAATTTTATCAAAATTACTCTTTTTCGTGTTCGTTTCAATTTATCTCGTTTTCGTTTTATACTTTCATTTCGTATTACAACTTCATTTGTACATTGACCATTGATGACCATTTCAAAAGATAAATCATCGTCGTCGGGACTAGCTGCACGTGTATCATCCTTTGAAAATTAAAATCAAGTGTTAAAAAATCTATGTCATTCAGTTAAATCAGTCATTGATAATACTTGAAATATAGTTTCATTTGTTAATGCTGTTTGTGTTGAATCTATTGTATATTTGTCTATTGCTTCAACATCAGTTGACGTTGTAATATCTTCTTCTTCTTGACGATCAGCAAATACATTGTTCCAATTATTCTAAAAAAAAATAGAAAATTAATAGAACCTAAATCTACATTTTTGAAAATTCGAGTTTACTACAATTGGTTCAAATACTTCATATGTTAATGCTGTTTGTGTTGAATCTATTGTATATTTTTCTATTGATTCAATATCAGTTGACGTTGTAATATCTTCCTCTTGTCGATCAGCAAACACGTCGTTACAATTGTTCTAAAAAAAGATAGAAAATTAATAGAACCTAAATCTACATTTTTGAAAATTTGAGTTTACTATAATTGGTTCAAACACTTCATATGTGGATGTTGCTTCTGTTATACCACTGGTGATCAATGATGCTTCAGTAGAATTTCTTGAGATAATATCTTGTTCGGATTGTACAAATGATATACTACTACTAGAAATTTGATTATGAATACCAATTAATGAAGATAATGTTGGTGCTGCATTCGAGCTGCACTCAACTGTAAATTCAGAAGTATATTTCTACAAGCAAAAAAAAACATTTGTACGTTAAACTAAAGTCATTCATAAAGAAACTCACTTCATTATTTTCACCAACATAAAATGATTTGTTTCTGTCTTCAGTAGAAAAGAAATTAGATTTTGTAGTAATTGTTGTTGGATGATTTGTAATATCCATTAATATTCTAGCAGGATTTGAATCAAGACATGAATATTTTTTTTTTCGTTTTGGTCTTCCTATTTTATTTGCGACAGATACCGGTTCAATTCCAACAACAAGTGATTTGTAGCAAATTGCATGCACTAATTGATTTAGTAGTGTACCACTTAATTCCTTATTATAACGAGTTTGATATGCTTTACGAACTTTTTCTTCTCGTTCAATTGTGCAAATTTGCGTATACTTGCAACGAGCTTGTCGATCTTTTTTTCCACATATTAAGCATAAAATTATTTTTCCAGGCAACGACGTCGATGAACAATATGGTATAACACACAGCAATAAACAATTCTTTATTTCTTTTGCATACGTAGACGATTTATCAATAGTCTAAAATGATGACAATAGTCTTTATCATCATATGATGTTTCTATGATTATGTCCAGCCAATATGGTTCATACTCAACGACCAATCAGTGACGATCTCTTAAACCGAACTAGGGCGAGTAAAACTATCACTACCAAAATCATTAAATCACTTTATAAGTTCAAAATATAGTATCAAAAGTTCTTGAAAAAGTGGCAAGATATGTGGCGCCCTCTCTTGGTGCATTTTCCGATATTGATTATTCACTTCGTCGCCTTGTGGGTACGTACCATATAGTATGCCGACAGAGCGAAAAAAGTATAGCGTTTTAAGCGAATCAATATCAAATGCACTACGTGTGGCGACCTCTTAGAAAATTAAATGGGCCGAGGTTTTTGTTAATACTAGAAGATAGAAGAAAAAATTCTCTATCGAGCTGTGCTTTTAGTTTTTTCTAAAAAAGTGATTGTACCAGAGAAATAATCGATATAATCTGACCAATCGGAAAAAAGAGTCTTTAATGGCTTCAGCATGGAAGGGTAGTACAATACAAAATGACAGCTTCACAAAATGAATTCTTTAACTTTATCTTATTGCATCTAAGTTTGTTTTGTTGTACTTTCTTTTATATGAATCAAATCTGTTTTCTGTGTATTGACGATCGTCTTAATCGTTAAATTTATTTTAAAATCAATTTTACGATCAACAAAAAATTAACAAATAAATACAATCATAGAAAAAAATATGAAACGAATTATGGCTTGTTTTATTGTACTGCATTTTCGATCCATAGTTTTTTTAAAAACATGTAGATGGTCGTGGTTTTGATTTAGATGGTGCCAGATGTGTTTTTTAGAAAGAGATAAAAAACAAAAACAAAGTGACACGTAATGGAGTTTCCAATAGAAATCTAAAATAAAAAAATCAAATGAAATGAAATTTTTCTCGTTGAAGTGTAAAATAACGCTCTGTTTTTAAGACAAAGTATCACAAAGTTTGCAAAGTCTTGATTATTAAAATTGGATTTTAAAAAAAGACATATTTCATATGAATTTATCAGAGCTTTCTTACTGGAAGAAAGACTCACATCCCAATTACCCTAAGCTTGACTCCTTAATAAAAGAATTTTAAGCGTTTTATTCATTTTTTTCCGTACTATTTGTAAAAATATCACTGTAATCTACTAATTCTGGTCGAATTCAAAAGCAGCTTTCAGTTGATCTTTTTAGCCCTCGACCTCCCGCTCTCTTCTCGTAAAACTTGTACGTATCAAGATTGTCGTCGTATTTTAATTTTAAAACAAAATAGTATTTTTTTCAAAAGACAATTGTTTTTTTTTGAAAAAACATTTCTTCATAAAAAGGGTCACTTTCCTTATATGCGTTTGCTTTTTTTTTGAAAAAATAATTTCTCTACAAGAAAAAATGTCAGGGAATTTAATGCAGCTTTAACTTTTTGAAACATAAATTGCAAAGAACTCTTATTTTTATTTTTATTTAAATTTATAGTTAAAGTGCTAAACCTTAT